CTACAATTTAAAAACTAATCCACGTACCAGCTCTGCAACATCTATTTCCCACTCATTGTAACCCACTAAAATGGGGGAGAAAGTTTGGTCAAATTTCAAAAACAGAAAATAGAAGGACTTATGGATAGCCATCTCCACATGCTTGACCAATGTTTTTACTGAAAGGAGTGGTAAACTTTTGATACCAAAATGTATAGCCAGGGAAGTGCCAGAATACCCCTCTCAGGCTTGGACAAAGGTACCTATTACCATGTTATCTCAGCTTTGCTAGGTTCTTGCAGTGGAGCCCTAGGAGGCCCTCTTGGTCAAAAGAATGAACATTTAATGAACATTTAATTACCAGCTACTCAGTCCTGGACATTTATTTACTATGTCTACGTCCTCTCTCATTCTCTCATTTTTTCCTTATATTTATTACCCTTTCCCTTACTTCTTTTCTTGTACCTGCTTCCTTATCCCCCCTCCCCATATAAATGTTCCCACAACCTCATCCACTATATACCACCCCGCCGCTCAACCAATGAGTTACTTGATCGCTCGTGGCCCACCATCATCTTTTACGTTATTTCTACTAATTGTTTTATACCCTGTGGAGGAACCAACCTAGGCCTGGATTCATAAGATTCTTAACCCCTGTTGCCATTTTGTGCAATATTATTGACTATGTATACATGCGCACCTTACTTGAATACCAAAACTAATCAATGTTATATTTTTCTTCAGATTTTTTGATGTACATGTGTTTTATGCTATATCATTGTATCATCCTAAAAAATCTTGACCTTTCTTTGACCAACTGTGCAATAAGAGAAATGCTTCCCACTTCTTTGACTGTGCCAGTGGGGAGATGGGAAAGACCTCCCACTGGCCTGCTCTGCTATAAGAGGGTGTGTGTGTGTGTATGTGTGTATATATATATATATATATATATATATATATATATATATATATATATATACACACTGCTCAAAAAAATTAAAGGAACACATTGAAAACACATCAGATCTCAATGGGGAAAAATCTCCTGCTGGATATCTATACTGATATGTACTGGGTAATGTGTTAGGAACGTAAGGATGCCCCATCGTTTGATGGAAATGAAAATGATCGACCAACAGAGGACTGAATTCACAGACACCTCGAAAATCAAAGTGAAAAAATGATACAGCAGGCTAGTTCATTTTGTTGAAATGTCATTGCAACAACTCAAAATGGTACTCAGTAGTTTGTATGGCCCCCACGTGCTTGTATGCATGCCTGACAACATTGGGGCATGCTCCTGATGAGACAACGGATGGCGTCCTGGGCTATTTCCTCCCAGATCTTGACCAGGGCATCACAGAGCTCCTGGACAGTCTGAGGTGCAACCTGGTGGTGTCGGATGGACCGAAACATGATATCCCAGAGGTTCTCTATTGGATTTAGGTCAGGCGAGTGTGGGGGCCATTCAACGGTATCAATTCCTTCATCCTCCAGGAACTGCCTGCATATTCTCGCCATATGAGGCTGGGCATTGTCATGCACTAGGAGGAACCCAGGACCCACTGCACCAGCGTAGGGTCTGACAATGGGTCCAAGGATTTCATCCCGATACCTAATGGCGGTCAGGGTGCCATGCCATTGTCTAGCCTGTAGAGGTCTGTGTGTCCCTCTATGGATATGCCTCCCCAGACCATCACTGACCCACCACCAAAAATGGTCATGCTGTATGATATTACAGGCAGCATAATATTCTCCACGGCTTCTCCAGACCCTTTCACATCTGTCACATGTGTTCAGAGTAAACCTGCTCTCTGTGAAAAGCACATGGTGCCAGTGACAGACCTGCCAATTCTGGTGTTCAATGATAAATGCCAATCAAGCTCTATGGTGCCGGGCAGTGGGCACAGGGCCCACTAGAGGACATCGGGCCCTCAGGCCACCCTTATTTCGGTGTGGTGCGCCAATTGTTTAATCTAACCAATATACTTTTTTCGAGCTCCCTCGTTGTATGGAAGCAGCCCACACATCACCTAGATATCCCATTAGTATAATGAAAATAGTAGAGTTTTTTGACGATACCAATCATAGGTACTGAGTGACATCCTTCTATCTCTGAGCAGGTCTGAATCAGAAATAAAAACAAAAAAGCTCTTCCACCATGAACATTGTTAGAGGAATGCACAGGTTGCTATTACTGACCTCTTCTGAAAATGCAAGATTCCTGGCAAGTATGTAGATCAGTAGTTCGCTGACTGCTCGCTGGTTTTGGATCAGTAACACCAAAATTATTAAATAGCATGAATATCAAGCAACTAGAAGTTTCAAGATGCCACTGGCAACCATTCTATTTCTCTCAGCCGGTGTGTCTATCTGGCATGAATCAGTTGGTATCAAGGGGCAGTATCTCAATGCAAATTTTAGGTGGAAGGACTTTGGTGTTGTTTTTAAAGTGTTACTAAACCCAGGACCCTTCAATCACTCTATCTGCTCTCCCACAGTACACTCAACATGGAAGTGCAATTATTTTAGTAAATATGAACTGCTAATTTCCTTTTCTCATCAGCAGTTAGAGCAGTCTTGTGACTTCTATCAGTGTTCAGCCCACCGCTAGCTAAAGCTTGTAGGAGGAGTTTTCTTTCTCTTCTTCTAGGAGGATACAGGACCCCTGACCTTTGTTTGGACAGCGCTGATTGGCCCTGTTCTGATCACATGCACTCTCCCAAGAAAACAAAAAAAAAAAACCTCTCTAGCAATACACACCTAACTGAGCATGTGCATAGTGACTCAAAAGCTCTGTTCTATCAGGAGATATTGAAGGGACAATGGAAGGAGGGGAGGATCAGAGAAGACAGGATCAAACCACCTTTTTACACAATGTGGAGAATTAACCTTTTAGGTTTCACAGTGAGCATAACAAGCATGTGTTAGGTCATATACAGGCTGATTTTGCTGTTGTGGGTTTACTAACACTTTAAGCAGGGTAGCCTGATCCTTTTGGCATTGGCAAGGTAAGTACAGGTTATGAAGAGGTTAAAGCTGGCCATACAATAGTAGTTTTTGGAACAGATGTACAAACATTTGTACAGATACTTGTATGAAACTTCTCTGTACATTCAATGACTTGACTAATGTTGTTCAAAAGTACTTAAAATTTTTTTTGCTTTTGGCATTCGATTTTTTTTAGGAATTTCTACTAGTGTATGGCCAGCTTAAAATATAACTAAAGGCAAAACTTTTTTTTTTTTTTAGTTTTGGACACAGTGGAGATGAGTTGGAACCCCTGTCAGTTTGTATTGCTGTCTATGCCCCCATTAGGGAGATCCATCCTCTCTATTTTTCCTCTTTACTGTTATCATTGAAAGTGAAGGTAAGAAGAAAATCCCAAATTTTGGGTTGTCCCCAGAAAAATAATAGGGGAAATCTTCCAGTGGGGACAGTAAATTTGGTGACCCTGCTGACACCCCAGGATTCCCTCACTGGCAAAGCAGTAATGAGAAACAGAGATATTGTTCCCTCTGTATGGAGCTCTGTGTTGATTGTACACAGCTGATCAATAGGTCTTGGCATTGAATCATTGGCTGGGACTTAAGGACAATCTCTGCTGTGTACAATCACATGCGGAGCGGGAGGGGCGGGGGCGCACCCGAAACCTGGAAGTAGGCAGCAATGTGAAACATAAAATGTGGTTGGTCCACAACTAGTTAAGCTGCAATGGCAGCAGACGGGGGTGTTTACATGCTCGGGTCGCAATGCTTCCCTTCACACTTGGGGCAAAAATTGTCCAACATGCTGCAATCGTTGGGTCGTAAGCCTGCTGAACATGACTCATTCAAACAAATGTGGAAGAGCCACAAATGCTCTGCAGCTGCGCACAATGCGTGTGAGTATGGGGCATTTGTTTAGCAAAAAGTGGGTTAAAACAGGCAGTTAGGGGGAGTCACATCACCTCCTCACCGCCTGTCAATCCCCCTGAAAAGTAATTAGACCATAGATCGCTTTTCGGAGGAGCAGAGGGTTTAGATCAGCGGTCTCCAAACTTTTGAAACAAAGGGCCAGTTTACTGTCCTTCAAACTTTAGGGGGGCCAGATTGTGGTCGGTGGGAGTAGAAAATGCCCTGGCATCAGTGGGACGAACAGTGCCCTGTTGCTGAGGTCAGTGGGAGGAACAGTGCCCCATCATTGGTGTCAGTGGGAGGAATAGCGCCCCATCGTTGGTGTCAGTGGGAGGAATAGCGCCCCATCGTTTGTGTCAGTGGGAGGAATAGCGCCCCATTGTTTGTGTCAGTGGGAGGAATAGTGCCCCGTTGTTTGTCTCAGTGGGTGGAATAGTGCTCCATCATTGGTGTCAGTGAGAGGAATAGTATCCCATTGTTGGTGTCAGTGGGAGGAATAGCACCCCATAATTGGATTCAGTGGGAGGAATACTGCCCCCATTGTTTGTCTCAGTGGGTAAAATAGCACTCAGTCGTTTGTGCCAGTGGGAGGAATAGTGCCCCATTGTTTGTCTCAGTGGGAGGAATACTGCCCCGTTGTTTGTCGCAGTGGGAGGAATAGTGCTCCATCATTGGAGTCAGTGGGAGGAACAGTGCCCCATAATTGGTGCAAGTGGGAATAATAGCACTCAATCGTTGGTCTCAGTGGGAGGAATAGTGCCCCATCATTGGTGTTAGCGGGAGGAAAAGTGTCCCATCATTGGTGTCAGTGGGAGGAATAGTGCCTCATTATTGGTGTCAGTGGGAGGAATAGTGCCCCATCATTGGTGTCAGTGGGAGGAATAGCATCCCATTGTTGGTGTCAATGGAAGGAATTGTGCTTCGTATAGTGGAAGGAAAAGTGTCCCAAGGGCTGGACAAAAGCAAGCAAAGGGCCAAATCCGGCCTGCGGGCCGGAGTTTGGAGACCCCTGGTTTAGATGCAGGTCTAAACCCAGCCTTATGGAGAGGAGGACAGCAGGTAGTCATGTACTTTCTCTCCTGCAAGCATTATACAAGCATAGATACTCTCCTGCAAGCATTTAACCGTTGCAATGTGGTGGGCCCTACTGCACATGTTTTTCTTGTTGTGCCCAGGGCTGGGCTTTATGTTTTGGTCAGATTAAGTATTCAATTTCAGGGTCAGGCTAGTCATTCAGTGCTATGGGGATGTAGGCAGGGGCGGACTGACCATTTGGAAACTCGGGCACTGCCCGAGGTCCCGGGGTTAGTAGGGGGCCCCATGAGATGCCCCTAGTACCTTTTTCATAGGCTTTTCTGAGTTTGGGCAAGGACACAGGGGCCCCATGATCCCCTATTGCCCGGGGGCCCCATGAGTTGTCAGTCTGCCCCTGGATGTAGGGTTAGTTACAGGGGAGGGGTATTAGCATAGGGTTTCCTAGGATTAGGTTAAAGGTAGAGGGTCAAGTAGCAAGGTAGACGCTATTTAGGTCTGTTTCCAGAGATTTAAATCCCACCACTATGTGCCGAGCTCTCAGTGCTGGAAACCTACATATTGTGCTGGTGTCACCTGCTCTTCAAAAGGGCTTAGCAGAGCTCCTCACAGTGCTTCTAATAAAAGACGCTTGTCAGTTTTATCTATGTGAATGACATCATTGGTAAAGCAGCACATAACCAACTTCAGTCTTCTAGTTTTTAGAACGTTTCAGCTAATGAGTATCAGTTGAAGAGACTGAATCTGTAATAGAATGTGTTTTCTTCTTGCAGTCACCCTAGCATTCCAGCTGTCATTTTAATCGAGTGTGATAGACGGTAATAGATGCAAATTTTCAATTCGGTGATTTGTGTACAACTAGCAGCTCAATAGCTTAGAGCAGATATTCCCCACCTTCTGCTGCCGGTGAGCTACTTCCAGATATGACAAGTTAGGGAGGCAATCCAGTTATTGGTCCTATTTATTACAGAAACACACAAACCCAACTGTGAGGAATTATTGATCCCCGAATGATCATTGCAAAGACGTGCACTGTGAACAGGAATACTGTATATGCTACATGCAGACAGCTGTTGTTAGCCGTGTTACTATGAATGTGGGTTTTGCTATTGCCACCTGCTAAATTCATTTTCATATCCGGATCAATATAAAATAGTCTGAAAATAGAATCATTATTTTATGTAATTTAATAATAATAGAAATCAGGCCACAAAGCATCAGTAATTGAGACAAACGAAGCAACAGCCGAGAAGCTGCTGAGTGGATTATTAGAGGGAACTGTGAGCTACATATGACTCCTAAGCCACTGGTTGGATAGAAGTTCAATGAATTTAGTTTTCTATACTAATTGATCTCAGAAACTCAAAAAGCATTGTCACTATCATTGACCAATGCACCATGTAACAGAGGCCTGCAAGCTATTCTTGCACAATATGAAGCCACTTGCCATTTGCAGCACTGAAGTCGCTTTCTTGTTTGTTCCTCTAGTCATCAAGCACCCAGCTTAGAACACAATCCTCTGCAATGTGAAGCTACAGTATATTTTTATTAGTACTGGAAGTAGAAGTAACTTACCTTAACAGCTTCACTATGGCTGACCCTGTCTAAAGGTCGCCCATTTGCTTTTAGAATCTGATCCCCGACTCTAAGTCCTTCTTCTTCTGCCAAAGAACCAGGTTCAACCAGTGACACATAGATGCCTGTGCCATGTTCCACACCTCCACGGATACTAAAACCAAGTCCTTCTTGGTTTTTGCTTCTTTTAAGAAGAACCTGACGAAGCTCTGGCTTGGAGGCAGCAGGTGGAGAGTTATTGTAGGCTGGTGGTCCTACAGGATAAGATGCTCCAGGTGCTGGAGGACCAAATGCTTGGGTACTAAAGGTAGTAGCTGTCCCTGGTACTGGACTATTGAAGGCAGGACCTGCTCCTTGTCTTGGAGTGTTAAAGGCAGGAGCTGTCCCTGGTACTGGGTTGTTAAAGGCAGGATTTGTGCCTGGGATTGATGAGTTAAAGGCCTGTGTTGTCCCTGATATTGGGTTGGTAAATGCTGACACACCACCATCACCTAAAACCAAATTGTATCCAGAGGGTCCTGAAGGCAAATCCTTTATGTACAGTCCCTCTGAGGTGTACTGGTCAAACAATAATTGATCAGAACGCGGGATAACAAGGCGTAGCATCGGAAAAAGTTGTCTCTGGTCCTGGGGGCGCAGAATAAGGCGCAGTGTCCTTACCAGGTCAAAAACATTCCTACGAGAGTGATAGAGTCGCAAACAGTGCAAAAGCTGTTCCCTCTCCGGTTCACTTAGCAGTCGGTTTAGGGCTCCATGAAGTCGGCGGACATTGGAAGAGAGGACACGACCAATATCTCCGGAGCAGATTGAACTGGAGGATGAGGAGTGGATGGACCCTGTTAATGACTGATGGATGGAACCCCGTGGAGAGGGGTGAAGCGTACCTGGCTCTGAATTCATTGCCCAAAGGCTGCAAGATTTGTCATGGCATCTTGGATGTGGACAACTTCTTCAATGATTCGAAGGCTCCCATGAGGTACTTCCACATGCCAGACCTTCTAAGCAATGATTTAGCTGGACCTCCTGAAGAGAAAACAAATGCGTCTTGATTACCTCTCAGGCTGTATCACATATTATAACTGCTTAAGCTTTATGTTGTCAACAGTTCTGCATTGTTTGTCCTTCCAGACTGAAATCATTTGTTAGGGTCTCCAGTATCTAACTCCGCTTTCACGATTCTCTCTTTCCCAATCTAGCCTGCCTGTAACATTCACTTCTTCAGTGTTTTAAGTCTGTGCTGCTGCTTTATTCTACGTCCTCCCTCCCCCCTCCCTGTCTTCTCTCCATTTCTCAAGGTGATCCTGTGGGTCTATTTTCCTCTGCTCCGTCGACCATCCCCTATCAAGAAATAATGAATCCTGAAGACAGCTCAAAAGGCAACAAATACCGGCATTGTCTTCTTGGCTCAATGCCTTGGCTAGCTCATCGAATTCTAATTTTTAGGAGTCCTTTTTGATATTTCCTTTTTTGTTACATCTAGTATTTAAAATTTGTTCAGTTCCATCTTACCTTCTTCCACTCACCTGATCTCTCTTGCAGAAATGCCCATCGTTCGAAGTCACTCAATCCCTCTGCGTTTCATCACTCTGGAGCAGTCTAACAGGTGTCATTCCATACCTCGGTCTCACAGATGACCAATCTCACACACTGCAGATGTCTCTCGCCATCTGTTAAATTATTTCATCAGGTCTTTTCTGTTTGCCTCTCAGGGACCGAAGTTGCAGCGGATTAATGAATTGTCTTAATTTTATTTCGAACTAAATTGTTTCCTTTTTTGATGCTCCATGTTTATTTTCTTTGCTGAACAGATCACTGTATTCTTTGACGTTCCTTCTTCGTTCTTCTAACAGATGACTCGTAATACGAAGACAACTATTTTTTTTTTTTTTATGTTGAATGTTTTTCTTGAATCTGAACTATTTTTTTTCAGAAGCTGGTATGTGTTTTTTATCACCAAAATTTGGTGTCGTGTTCTGACTGATTAGTTGTGTTTACCAACTTGTTTCAGTCACTCTCTAACTCAGATAAAAATATTCTTTCGACTGCAGGCTAATTTCCATCCCATCTCAGATGCATTGCCTGCCTCCTATAGGCTGTCTGCCTTGCTTTGGGTCCAGTGACTCTCTTGTAGAGAATTTTGCTTTTCCCCACCAGTCTCTCTGCAGTATGTTCACCGTCACTCAGGTGGTCGTCTCACTGGCTGCTCATGTCTCAGCCTGTCACAGGTGTCTCTCAATGCCTTGGTTGGTCTCTTCCGGATCTGACGTCCCTCAGTCATGTCACCGTTGCCAGGAGACTGAGAAGACAACACTAATATGCACGGCGCTTAACCCTGCACTGCCAGACGGCTGCAGAGAAATCTTGTGGTTCTAATACTCATCCTTTAACCCTTTAAAGCTTTTAGCCAGCTGCTATTGAATCATGTGACCACCTGTCTGTAGACTAGGTTATAAGATCTCCTTACGTATCAGTGCTGGAAAGACATTTTAGGTCAACTTTTTTAAGAAGAAATCCTTCAAATAGTTTTCAAGTCTCGGGAAATACAACTATAATTTTTATATCTACATCTCATGGCACATTAGTGTGACCACTAGGTTGCAGAGAGTTTTAAATATAAGAATAAAGAATGGGGTTTACTTAATATTCATGAAATGAAACATGTTCTAACAATAACAGTCAAAGAAACACACAATGAAAACTGTAATGACCTCTTACATTGATGGTCAATGTAGAAGTGACCCTTTAAATTGGAGGTCAGTGTGAAAGGGACTCTTACATTGGAGATCGATGCAGACGTGACCCCTTACATTGAAGGTCAATGCTAGTAACTCTTGCATTGATGGTCATCGTTAAAGTGACCCCTTACGGCAATGGTCAGTGAAGTGACCTCTTACATTGGAGGTCAGTATAGAAGTGATCCCTTACATTTATGGTCAGTGTTGAAGTGACCCCTTACATTGGAAGTCATTGTAGAAGTGACCCCTCACTTTGGAGGTCATTGTAGAAGTGACCCCTCACTTTGGAGGTCATTGTAGAGTGACCCCTCACTTTGGAGGTCATTGTAGAAGGGATCCCTTATATTAATGGTTAGTGTAAGTTGTTCATCATTGAAGTGAATCCTTAGATGATCAGTGTTGAAGTGGCACATTACTTTGTTGGTTAATATAGAAGCAACCCCTCACATTTGAGGCCAGTATAGATGCAACCCTTTACATTGATGGCCAGTGTAGAAGTGGCCCTTAAAATTGGAGGTCAGTGTAAAAGTGACACCTAACATTGAAAGTCTGTACAGAAGTGGCCCTTTACATCGATGATCAGTGGAGAAGTGATCCCTCCAATTGGAGGTCAGTGTAGAGGTTACCTCTTACACTGGTGATCAGTGTAAAAGTGTCCAATTATTTTTATGATCATTTAAGAAGTGACCCCTTACATTTGTGATCAGTGTAGAAGTGACCCCTTACATTGGAGGTCAGTGTAGAAGTGACCCCTTACATTGGCGGTCAGTGTAGAAGTAACCTCTTACATTGAGGTCAGTGTAGAAGTGACCCCTTACATTGGAGGTCAGTGTAG